TATCTATCTATCTATCTATCTATCTATCTATCTATCTATCTATCTATCTATCTATCTATCTATCTATCTATCTATCTATCTATCTATCTATCTATCTATCTATCTATCTATCTATCTATCTATCTATCTAGACATCTATCTATCTATCTATCTATCTATCTATCTATCTATCTATCTATCTATCTATCTATCTATCTATCTATCTATCTATGTATCTCCACTAAACCAGACAGTACTGCATCATACTTCACTACATGATATTTAGTGCTAAAATTCTTTAGAAAATATGAATATATTAACAGATTTGCTGTTTGGCAAAGCTTAAACTTTTCATTCCAAAGACTGGACAGTGAAAGATTCCACCCATTTTATCCTTTTTTAAAACGTTTTTATGCAGCATCTTCACAGTTTTAATTTCAAAACTGTGCACAACAACAAACCAGCAGCATGCTCACAAAACCAATTGAATCTGTTCTAAGCAGCCCATCTTATAAAAAAAAGCTATCTGTTGGAATCAACATTAAAACCTGAGCATGAAGTCACTTATTGGTTTTAGCTTTCCTCCTTTCCCATGGGGACGGTCAGTTCTGTCGTCAGTACTTATGCAAAGGTGTTTTACAGGTGGAGGAAAAAGAGAAGGAGCACCATGTAGGAATCAGCAGGGCAACAACTTGGAGAATTAAACTTTTTAATATGATGGAAAACTGTTGTATGTTTTGTGTCATTGTATTCACTGATTCTATGTGCTTAAAGCTGATAAAGAAAAGAAAATAGAATAACATTTGCTGCATACTTTGTTTAAACTGGAGATGTTTGTTATCACTGATTTTGGCTCAAACCTCTCTGTGTCCCAGGTCCGGTGTGTTTTTTTTAGCTGATTTTGGCCTGGTTTTCTCCTGGACCTCTTTCCTGCTCCTCTCAGGCTCTGTGACTATGAGCACCGCAGGTCATCTGGCCCCGAACCGGCAGAATGCGAAGGAGCTCGACAGCATGAAGGAGTCCATCAGCGACATTATCAACCAGCTCCAGGACATCGACCCGGCCAGGCTCTCCTTCTCCCCCTTCCTGGACCTGGACACCCAGATCTCGCTGGCGCCGGTGTCAGACAGCCCTGAGTCCTCGGTGGAGGAGCTGCGCTCGTCCTCCCACTCTGTCTCCGGCTCCCAGCGCTCGCTGGAACCGCCACCAGCAGCAGAGGAGCCAAGGAGTGAGTTATTACCGCTGCTTTTTAATGTCTGCCTGACAACGCTGCTGGCTTTGAGATCGTGCCAGAAGAAATTAGCGAGAGCTAAAGTCAAATATGGCTCTAGAATGAATGAGAGCTAATTGAAGTGTAATCTGTCTATCTATCTATCTATCTATCTATCTATCTATCTATCTATCTATCT